TACATTGTTTTTAGGATGTTTTGATAAATACAAAGTTCAAAAGAGCAGCATTTATTTGAAATAGAAATATTTGTAACATTATATTTCCAACTTTTTGACCAGTTTAATGCATTCTTGCCTAAATAAAAGTATTTATTTCTTTAAAAAATGTACTAACCCCAAACTTTAGTATATGTTATCATAAAACAAAAATTTTGTAGAAAATAGTACAGTTTTGGATACTAGAAATCCTCATTATATCCGCACAGACTGGAGACCAGAAATACCTAATGTTTTTGTTGTTGGGAATTTGTGGGTTTATTAAAATTCTTAAATTATTTATAAATTAAAAATGTTTAGTAAGACATTATGTATCACATAGTTATCTTTTCTGTTCATACAGAAGCTAATGTACATAATTCTTCAGCTGTCTTACCTCTAACCTTCAACTTGTCTTCTCTTTCTTTTCCTCCCCTTTTATCCTTTTTTGTTTTCCTTCCAGCTTTATACACTATGCCGCCCCTACAGCAACAAATAACATGAACTCAACTGAACTACTTGAACTGTTTAATATTAACTTCCTGTCACTGGTTACTGATAGGCTGTTGTATAATGATGTGTCTGGCTATTTTCAGGGTGATGTGTTGATTCTAAACTATAATTCATTCCTTAAAGATTTGTAAAAAAAAAAAAAAAGTCTGTATCTTTGTCTCTTTATGTGTAAACAGGGAGACATTTCCAATGTGAGGAAGAAGGAAGAAAAGCGTTCAGAAAGAAAACATTATTCATAAATGTGGCTTCGCGACTATAGACAGGTACAACGCTTCAAATAGCTCTCTGTTTATTATTGTTATTATTTATATGATTAATTATTCTCTGTGCATTATTCAAAGGTCTGGGGCCAGTATAATGTTACAGAAGGTTTTATTTTATTATTTCAAATAAATGCTATTCTTTTGAACTTTCTGTCTCATCAAAGAATCCTGAAAAAAGGATTGAGCATATTAGATTGATTTCTGAAGGATCTTGTGACACTGAAGACTGGAATAATGACTGCTGAAAATTCAGCTTTGCCATCACAGGAATAAATTACATTTAAAAACGTATTACAATAGAAAACAGTTATTGTTCATTGTAACAATATTTCACAATATTACTGATTTTAATGAAGTTTTAATCAAATAATGCCACCTTCGTGAACATAAGAGACCCAAATTTTAACATTACCATTAGACAATTTCCCAATACATTTTTATTACAGTTTTAACAATTACTTTCTTATATGGTCTGTTTTGTGTCTCTCAAGGTTTGCAGGTATATTTTCGATCCGTTTCCTGAGCAGCGGGGCCACAAGAGATGAAAAGAGACATTTGGCCTGAAAAGACATCTACGGCTTCCACTCTGAAACGCATGGTCTTCAAAGAGACAGAACTTTTTGACCTATCCGCTTGCGCATGAGCATGCATCACACTGCTGACACACTTCCTGTTCCAAGGGGGTCTTGATGAATTCTACTTCCTGAAATGGGTCCCGGTGAATTCTACTTCCTCTCTGTGTTGGGTCCTATGTAATTCTACTTACTCTTTCTGGGGGACCTGCGAGATTACACTTCATTCTTCTTGATGGTTAATACCTGCGCTGACCTGGACCATCAGGAATTCAGAAACTGTTTTGTGTGCCATGAATATCAGATGAATAAATGCAAGGGGTATATTCAAAAGACCTTAAACTCCAAACCGTATACTCACACAAATTTCTCTGTGACCAAAGATGGCACAAAAGCTCTTTTTCGTGGTTTAGAGGGGAAAAAAAACAATAGATGCTGTTGAACCATACCTTATATTCGCCTTACACGTTACCGTGGACCCATGACGTCAGGAGGAGGATCCCTGTGTTTTACTTTTGTTAATTTATAAAACTAAAATAAATTATGTGGTGGACTTTTCTGTACATAAATCACAATATGTAAAAAATGAAATAAAATTTAGTAGTTAGGTTTAGCGAGAGCACTGCAAACATACACTTTACAAGTGCTTTTGACATTTTAAAGATAGTGAAACTTTACATGCTCTTGTATAATTAATTACTATAGCAGGTATGTTTGTATATGAGAAAAGTTGGTTCGGTTTTCAGGGGACGTTTCCTTAAAATCCTCTGCGAATTTCAACAATTCCCAAAATGGGAATTTATCGAATTCTGTGAAGAAGTCATACAGAGGACTAATATTTTGATGCATGCAGTTCACCTTATTTTAAGAACCTTTTTTCTAAGTTTGCAAAACACTGTATTTAAAGAGACGAATAAGAAAAGACTTTTTTTTGTGTACACATACAACTCTAACATGTCTCAACTTTTATATTCCAAAATGTCACCCTACAAGCATCAATCGTGTAGAAACGGTTAAGTGTGACAAGCTCTAACCAGACTGCTTCCTTAGGAAGGTTCAGTGTAGTGTCTGTTATCTTTCATATGGAAGACATCGTCTGCTGATGTTAGCCTGAGCGCTGCAAGTAAGAGGTGTTCAGAATGTATATGCTAGTAAATCAGCATTTCTGTTCAACTATCACTGTATCATGTGTATTGGCTGTACAATGTAGAGGTCTCTCTTTGTCTTAAGGCTGTTTGTATTCATTATAGAATGTCTTCATTTTTTCTTTCTTTTTGATCGCTGAGGTTTTAAAATAAAATTTTGGCATTTTGTTTCAGGTTAAGTGAACATTTAACATTTTCATCTGGAGTCACACTTACTCGTATGGGATGTCTTTAGACCTTTATTACTTGTAGATTTAATAGCTTATGTATTACAAATGACACACACTGGATGGTCATTATAATGTTAAGTATTACAAGAAATCGTTTCCAGTTTCGGAATTGTGTGATATATTTTAGACCAGCGAGTCAGTGTGTTGCAGTGTTCTGCATCGGTTTTGATAATATAGAATTTTTCTTTAGGGATTACTTTCTGTTTGTTCGTTTGTTTGCTTTGTTTTCCTCCAATAGTCTTTTTAGCTTGTGTGTATGGTGTGAAAAATCCTTTAGTGTGCTGAATTTTGCTATGGCAATGAGATCTGAAAGACCTAGGAAACTAGGTCGTGATGGGGTGTGGTTCTGCTTCCCTGTTACATGTCAATCAAACTGTGGGAGGGGCCTGACACGGTCCAATCGGTTGATTTTGTTTAATATAATATGTTTTCACCTGAGCAACATTTTTGATGTACAATTCTTACAATGAGTGAAGCCATTTAAATGTAACTATAATAGCACTTTGGTTATTGGAGGTCTTCTCTTTTAGAAACTAGCAGCTATGATGCCACCATAATGTTTCAAATGTCTTACAAAAATCTGATTTAAAAATAAAATAAATGCATTGATTTTGCAAACCTATTCTTTTTTTTATTCACAGTTATTTCAGTGTTTTTATAATATTCATGTTCTTTTTTTCAGTTTGTGCATTACATCAATTCAGTGTATTATAAATAATGTGTATCTATATACATAATGAGGTGTCATGAATTATAATTATTTATAATCAAATTTGAATATGGCTGCCGAGATATTTTACACTATTTATGTAACACTATAACAACTCCGTTTAGAGCTGGATTCCTATAGTTTTAGCATTGAGAAAATGCCCTAATGATTTAATTTTCTCTTTTAACAGACTACATATATGCTTCCTTTGTAGAATGAAGTAAGTTGCTCACTGTTCTTGGAAATTTGTGAAAAAAGGTTTTGCATTTCTCTTGTAGTGCCTCAAATAGATGCTAGCTTCTCTATAAACATTGCTTATTATATCATTACTGAAAGAAGAACCATGAAAACCTGCTGAGCAAACCAGCCATGATTTATCATCTGTGACATTTTGACACCGTATGAATTTAAACTAAACATGCTTTGTCTCTGTATAAAACACATTACAAGTGATAATGGTCACACCTTTTTATTGTATAGAAATATTACATCTCTGTCTCTAAGAGTAACCTTGCACACTGAGTTTATTGAAGACAGTCATATTAAGTCAAAGTCAAATAAGTTTGTTTCTTCTCTCCTGTGTGGCAGTAGGAAAGGTGTCACAGTGCAGAACAAACTGTCTCCAAAATGTATTTGGACGTTTAATAATGTATGAATTTCACTTCATTGCATTTGATAACAAAATATCAAAATAAGTAGAATTTGCAAACAAATGAAGCTAGACCACAGATATAGTTTATCGCATTAACTGGGCCCATGTCGACTGTTTTACAGCCGATAAGTGTCCAAATACTATATTAATTTTGAACAGTATAGCTATTGTTTTGTCATTCAATATCTAACAAATGAATTTATGTTAAAAGGTTTTGCTCTACAAGTGTGCTTGTGTTTTATTTTTTACATAAACTTACTTGGTTTAATATTTTGCTATTGAGCAATGACATTCATACATTTGTGTCAGCTTAAATGTCAGAATATTTTTCAGGACCACTGTATAACACAAACATTACCATATACAATTGAGGTACCAGAAAAGCACTTTAACAGATTAACAGTAAAAGATGTGGTCTATATGAATCAAATGAAACATACGAATAAAAAACATTACCTGAATATGCAAATCTTCACACATATCGTTGTAAAATGATTGAGAAGCATAAAATCATTGAAGGACATTGTTGAACTCTTCAGTTATTTGGGTTAGTTATTTTGGGTGTGATTTCTAAATTTTGACAAGTCATGACGATCCATTGAGAAAACTGCTTGAAATTTGTGGTTATACATGGAGAAAATAATGTAACAATCTTTATAGAGTCTCTTAGTTTAAAAAAGGGGGAGGAAGACTTCTTTTGGTCAAGAATTGGTTGAGTGAATTATTCAAACATTCACCTATAACAGGGGTCACCAAACTTGATTCTGGAGGGCCGGTGTCCTGCAGAGTTGCCTAAAACACACCTGCCTGGAAGTTTCAAGTATACCTAGCAAAACCTTGATTAGCTGGTTCAGGTGTGTTTAATTAGGGTTGGAGCTAACTCTGCAGGACACTGGCCCTCCAGGACCGAGTCTTGTGACCCCTGACATAAAACAAAGAAGAAGACTCACTTGTCGTCATCAACTGAACGAATCATCAAACTCTTTTGAACAAATCCTTCTGTAAAGATTCGAGTCACTTGGATGGCTCAAAAGCCCAAACGTACTGTCCTCTCCACCACATGACGGCGCCACCCTCCCCGTTCGCCTGCACTTTCATCACGCCCAGTCATTTCTTGGATCGTTCCCTCTCCAGCCTAGCCACACTTGCTCCATTCCGCTTTCTCCCTAGCCCTTGAAATCCACGTCTACTCCACTCGAGGACCGTCGCGAGCCCTAGGTATCGAGCGCGGGACACCATGGCGGATAGCGCGAGCGAGAGCGACACGGATGGCGCGGGCAGCAGCAGCAGCTCCGCCACCCCGCAGTCCTCCTGCACCTCGGCGGCCGCCTCCAACACCACCACGACCACAACGAGCGCCGCCACCAAAGCCCAGGGCGTCGTGATCTCGCAGTCGCGCCTGGAGGAGCTGACAAACCGGCTCGCGTCGCTGCAGCAGGAGAACAAAGTGCTGAAGATCGAGCTGGAGACGTTCAAGCTGAAGTGCAAAGCGCTGCAGGAGGAGAACCGCGACCTGCGCAAAGCTAGCGTCACTATCGTGAGTCAGCCCGTGTTTTTATCGCTTTAATCCCCGCGGCACACCTGACAACAGCATCACGGCATGCAAAGACGTCTGAGGAACATTACAAACCACATCGGGGTGCAAAATTCACCTGTTTGGGGGGCAAAAAGAAGCGCTTGAGGGTATTTAGCTTGCTAGCATTCGAGCTAACTGTGATAACAGCCAACAACGAAAGCCTGATGGCACTTTAATAGCATTAGTGCTAATGTATATCACAGGCCAACTGCGTTAAAATAGTTTACATTTCAATATGGACTGGTATAACTTACAACGAATGTGTCTTTATATATGTTTATTATCTTAACGTTGTTTTTATGCTCGGTAGCATTCCGGTGGTGTCTGTGTGTGCTGACCACATAAGGCGTTTACTGATTTTACCACATGCTTTATCATCATCATGGTTTTAACGCAGAACGTGTTTTTGCACGTCTGATACTTTGCGTTACGCGAATGGGGTTGTTTTTTGTAGTTTATATTTGAGGCCTGTGTCAGGCTGGGAAGTTGGCAGTCTGAATATTTGGCTGTAATGCGTCAACATCTTGTATGTGAATCAGCCCTTCACTCAGACCATCTGCATTTAGACACAGAGCCAACACTCAAGTGTCACTGGAGAAACACTGACACTGATACCCAGTGTCATTTATGACCATCTTTAATGGTGGAAATTGATAGTGGCAGTGTTTTGCTTGTTGGTTGTGCAATTTCTTTACTGGGTTAAATGCATCTAATGCAGGATGTTGATATGCGTTTGACTACTTCTGGTGGATTTTAAATGTTTTTTATATTGCATAATAGGTTTTTATATTCTCATTGTCAATAATTAGGTTATAATTGCCTGTAGTTTCTTTGTAATTGGTATTTGTTATCTAAAATATGGTAGTTTCGAAATCATGTTTGAAGATCGTGTTAATTTTGTGTGATTGCTTGGTTACTGAAATGCTTGGAAAGATGATGTTATTTAGTTTTCCAAGAGAAATCTCCAAGAATAATTGCCCTTTTCATATGCCAGCATGTTTTATTTTTCTACAGCAAGCGCGTGCAGAACAAGAAGAGGAGTTCATCTCCAACACTTTATTTAAGAAGATTCAGGCTCTGCAAAAGGAGAAAGAGACACTCGCCGTCAACTATGAGAAAGAAGAGGAGTTCCTTACCAATGACTTGTCCAGGAAGCTCATGCAGGTGAGAAACTTTAGAAGGAAAGAGCCCATCAGTGGCGTTTGAGGTCAGGGGTGGGAAATGTGATCGCTTGCCCTTAGAATAATCCCTAAGGGTAACTTTCACATTGACGTACAGTACATATGTCATTACAAAGTTATTGTTCAACAGCTTTCTTATATAATGTTGAATTTTGATTGCCGCTGGAGGCAAGCAAAAAACGGTAGCTGATTAAACTTAATAAAAGATTGTTTTGGTGATGTGCTCATTACTGAATCTGGCTCTTCTGCTGAGACCAGATTACATTTTTATGGTGCGTGTGTTTAGTAGGTGTGCTGTATTGTGTGGAGGAGTAGCAAGAGAGATTAGTGTGCATACTAATGAGTCATGCCGACTATATATTTACACTACTGTTCAAAAGTTTGGGGTCGGTAGGTTTTTATAATGGTTTTGAAAGAAGACTTGTTTGCTTACCAAGTAAAATATAGTAATTTCCATTGTCATTTTTTTAAAATGGCAAAGCTGAATTTTCAGCATCATTACTTCAATCTACAGTGTCATATGATTCTTCAGAAATCATTCTAATATGCTGCTCAAGAAACATTTATTTTTGTCAGATTTGAAACAGTGCTGTTATGGAATGTTGTGAGTAATTCTTTAATGATCCTTTGATGAATAAAAAGTTCTAAGGAACAGCATTAATTTGAAATAGAAATTATTAGTAACTTTGTCAATGTCTTTACTGCCTTTACTGTTTGATAAATTATGTGTTCTTAGTGTTAGTATTAATTTCTTAAAAAAATTACTGACCCCTAACTTTTGAACAGTAGTGCTAAAAATATGATATATGCAGGCAAAGCTCAACAATTAAAGTGTGGCCCAGTATGGTAGAGTTTTAGACCAGTTGTTTACCAGTTGTTTTAGACCAGAATTGTCTCTTATCCTTTTACACTCATCTCTTGCTCATTGACTATATATGTATTTTGTATGGCTTGCAAACATTTGTTTTTCTGTGATTCTATTGAATTTTGAACAGGGTTGCAAATTCATCTGGTTAAAATATGTTGCTACGGTAATGCAACACAAGCAAATATGCATGAGCATTCAAAATGGTTACCATGAAGAATGAATTATCGTGTTATCGTTTGTAAGGACACCAGGAAAAAAATGTGACACCAAAACGTCACTTTGAATCACAGCTCATTTGGGGTGCCCATCGTGTTTAGATTTGGGTGTGTTGCATCTGTTTTACTTTTATTCTCTTATGTGCTTTCTTTCTTTTTCAGCTTCAGCATGAAAAGGCAGAGTTGGAGCAGCATTTGGAGCAAGAGCAGGAATTCCAGGTCAATAAACTGATGAAGAAGATCAAAAAGCTGGAGAACGACACCATCTCCAAACAGCTCACTCTAGAGCAGGTACCTTCTTTAAGCATCCTGCTGTAGAACAGGATAGTTTCCAAACCACTCATTCTTGAATTCCCACAATCTATTGCACAAATTTTCAAAGCAGTTGGTGTCTCCAAATACCTCGTTTTTTGTTGTTTTGGGCATCTGCCAGTACCTGGCTCTGGAACACCGATTCAGCAAATTTCTCAGATTAGAACAGGTTATTCTTGAGCAAACACATAATATAAATAGGGATGAACCGAAATGAAAATTCTTGGCTGAAGCCGAAACCGAACAAAATGAAACACTGGGCTGAAGGCCGAATACCGAACACAGTTTTTCGAGGTTTTTTCCCCATGTATTTTGCCCCAATTTTTTTTTTTCACCATTGCATAAATTAAATAGCCAAAATGTGCTTTTTACTGTTTTGTCTTGCTTTACAAAGAAAAAATCAGTTACAAAACAACAATTGAAAAATATTTAACATTTTTTAACGTTCTAGCAGACATTATACCAACAACACACAATTTAACTTAAAATTAATAAGTTATTAATATAATATTTTTGGCCATCAGACCCCCTTCTTGAATCAGGCATGTATTTTTTTTTACTGTACAAATAAAAGCAGCCTTGCTGAGCAGAAGAGATTTCTTTTAAAATAAGTATAAATCCCAATTTGAACACTGTGAATGTTATAATAAATGCATTAAAGGGGTCATAGGATGCCCATTTTCCACAAGTTGATATGATTCTTTAGGGTCTTAATAAAAAGTCTGTAACATAGTTTGGTTAAAATTTCTCAATGGTAGTGTAAAAAACACCTTTTTTACCCTGTCAAAAACAGCTCTTTTCAGATCAAGTCGTTTTTGTAGCATTTTCCTTTAAATGTTAATGAGCTCTGCTGACCCCGCCCCT